TCCTTTAGAGGTTTTTGCATTCCAGTAATATTATAATTGGGTTCTGATTATTATTTGATTAGCTATCCATATTTTTGCAAAGCATTTATGGTAATATGAATAAAATTGGTAAAACTATTGTAACAATATTAAAAGGGTCAAGATCATATTGGTGAAAGGGGAAATATTTACCTCAGTCAACATCTCTTTTATCTCTGAGGTTTTTTTCCTGGTCAAGGCAAAACAAAGCAAGGCAAGTGATGAGCCATTGTAGAGTGATAGTGCATTGCTCTGGACGCAGGTAGGGATTTTGGCAGGCTAATCTATATTATAATATCAAGATAGTAACGTAGATTTTGGTTTCAGGGACATTAAGCATCATAGTGGATGAAATATTCAAAACTTATTTATAAACAGGAGTATGAGATGAGTGTACGTATCTGGGGAAGTAGTAGTGTTATCTCTTATATTACCCTGGGAAAGTTTTCTCTTCCCCACATTGAACCAAGCATGATTACATGGATTATCTCATTTCATTTTCTCAGAAACTTTATGAGATAGGTGTAATTATTATAATAGCCGTTTTGTGAATAAGGACACTGAGGCAAGAGCTACAGAGCTAGAGAATTTAGGAGGTCTTTAAATTAGATTAAAATTGGGCTCATACCAATTGGGAATATATATATATATATATATATATATATATATATATATATATATATGTGGATGGATAGGTAGATAGATAGATAAAGATTTGGGTATGGATATGGATGTATAGACATATATGCAGTGTGCTTTTTTGTTTTAATAATATGTATATTTCAGAGCCCTTCATGTCAGCAGAGATAGAACTTTTTAATCATTGCATAAAATTACATATTCATATGTATCATAATTTAGTAAGACATCTTCTCTATCAGTGGACATTTAGGCAATTTCCAACTTTGGGCTATTACAAATAGTGCTGTGATGAACTCTCTTGCATGTACATCTTTGTGCACATTTGCAAATATCTCTATAAATACATGTATGTAGGATTATTAGGTCAAAGGCATTGACATTTAAAATCTTGATAGCTGTTCTCATGGGTGCCTGGGTGGCTCAGTTGGTGAAGCGACTGCCTTCAGCTCAGGTCATGATCCTGGAGTCCCGGGATCGAGTCCCACATCGGGCTCCCTGCTCAGCGGGGGGTCTGCTTCTCCCTCTGACCCTCCCCCTCTCATGCTCTCTCTGTGCCTCATTCTTTCTCTCTCAAATAAATAAATAAAATCTTTAAAAAAAAAATCTTGATAGCTGTTCTCAAAATATGCTTTTTCCTTGCTTTTCCAAGAGTATTCTTTTTCCTATATTCTCATGAACACTAGAGGTTATAGTCTTTTTTTTTTTTTTTCAACCATTCTATGGGTGAATACCTGGTATTTCCTTGTACTTGACATGTGCTTAATTTTTAATGAAGCTGAGCATCTTTACATCATTTATTGAACATTAATATTTCTTTGTTGAATTCTAATTAATTTCCTTTTTCCTACTTACACATACAGTTTTTTGAAGTGGTGAAGTTCTTTGTATATTATACATATTCATATTTCATCTTGATATTTAGCAATTTTTCCTCCTAATATTTGATTTTTCTTATAATTTAATTATGGTATATTTTGTTGTCTAGAAATTTTTAGCATTGAATTTTAATCACATAGCTTATTCTTTTAAGATTTCTAGGATCTATGGCTTTGTAGGAACATCCTATCTAGCTGATTAAACATTGTCCCATATTTTCTTTAGCACTTCTAAAATTTATAATTTTTTTTGTTCTTAACCCATTGAAATTTTACTTTTGTTATTGATATGAAATAGGATTTTTTTTTTTCAGGCAGATATCCCATTCTTTCCCTACTATTTATTGAATAGATCACCCTAACTAATTTGAGCAGAAAAGTAGAGGAACAGAACAGAACAGAATCCAAAAATAGATATACCTCAGGGCCCAAACTACATTGCCTTAAAAAATGAAGTTTTATTGTATGTTTGATATCTTATAGGGTCTGATTCCATCCTATTCTTTTCAAACAGTTCGTTATCCATGAAAAATTTGAGTGGGGTTTTGACTGCCCTGTATTCATAAATTAAATTGGGGCAAGCTAACATTTATAGTAATTTAGGAGTGTAGATGCCTTTACAATATTAAGAATTTTATCCAGGAACATAGTATGCCATTATACATATTTAGGGCTTTTTGTATTTTTCAGTTAAATTTTATAGAGAAGGATATCCTTGCACATTTATAATTAGTAATTCCTGGATATTTTGTGTTTCTGACCTTTTCTGTTATACTTTCTAAACTATTGTGGGTTTTTTAATAATTTTTTTGTTACTTTATGGAACTCTTACTGGTTCTAATAATGTTTATGTTAAATCTTTTGGATTCTCCAAGTAAATGATAGCTTAATCTGCATCTAATGAAGTCTGGCTTTTCTTTTTCAGTTATTTATAGGTTTTTCCTATGTACTCACATAATTTACCAGACTATGAGCAAGCTGAAGATGAAAAGTATCTTACATTATTTCTTTTCTACAGAATGAAATAGGGTTATAGTCCTCTGATTGCTAGATACCTCAAAAATTATTTAAAACACCATTTCCCAATATGGAGCCATACAGTTATTTGTTTTATTTAGTTTCAGGAGACCCCCAAATGAACTTTATAAACCAGCCCAATTGAGGAAGAACACTTGATAGCAGAGTGTTTTGGGATCCTGAAAAAAGTCAGGAAGGTGTTAATTTATTTGAAACAGTTCTCCCATACTTACGTTTTACACACACACATACACACATGCATGTATGCACACATGCATTTATTTATTTATTCACTTATTCTGTGGTAGCAAAATTGAGCTATGTTCCAGAATGGATATCAATTAAATCTTTGTTCTACAGTCACATATATATTCTTGGACCTTCAGCAGATGTAGACAAGTAGCAAACATCAGTGGAATAATTTCCAGTCATATCTGCCAATAGTTTGCAGGACACATAAGTTCCAGATCCAGCTAACTTTTTTTGTGTGTTGTTAAAGTGTGCTCCCCTAGGCATGTTGCTTTGTAGTCCACTCAGCTGTGTTTTCTAAAAGATATGGATATAGATGTGGATTTTTTTGTCTAAGATCTTATATTTGAAATATGCCTTCTATCTCTTCTACACTCAAATATATGAATTCTTGTTTATTCTCTAAGATTCAGCTCAAATATTTGGCCCTTCATGAAATGCTTCCCTTTTTCAGGCAAGTAAGAAAGATTACTTGGCATATTCTTCTGTTACAACAGGTATCACATTATACTGTGTTTGTTTACATTGATTTCTGTGTCCCTACCAAGCTGTGAGCTACTTGAGACCATACCTTCTCCAAGGTCCAGCACAATGTCTAACATAGAGAAAGGTACAAACCCTATAGTTTAGAAATATGCCTTTGGATGCAGTAATGTTTATTATGGTGGGGAAATGTGGTAGAGACCAAATGAGTGGCTTGAGGCCATGAAAACATATTGAAAGTCAGGAAGAAAAACAGTATTTATCCTGGTACAAATATTATAAATGACATGATTTTGATAAATTTATACCACACTACATCTGCTCCTTAATATATACAACATATATTCCTGGTTTATAGGTTACCATATATAGCATACGAGAGTTGCCAGTTTTCCAATAATAAGAATGTAAAACGCACCTGGACCAGCAGGACTAGCTTTATAGGCAATAGATTTGATTTCTTTCATCTCTGACCTTCTGTTCTGCTTTCTTTTTTTATTATAGCTTCTTATGTATATTAAAAAAAACTTCTCCTAGATTTTAAGATTTTGAGGACATTACAGAGTTTCTTCAGGCACCGTTTAGATACTTAATATTTATTAAATCTAATAAAAAATGTCAGTTTTTATTATACATGTTAATTGGACTTGATAAATTATGCATTTCTTTCTTTTAGATATTACTCCGTGAATTAAGTAAGGGGTGGTATACCTGTTTCCAGTTACTTTGCAAATAGAACAAATTCAGCAGAAATAAGGGCAATCAGGTTTCTTACGGCCACATCTGACGACCATACTTAGTAGTAATCCTTTGAATGATTTAGGTCAGAAAGAGCTCTTGAGCAATATTTTGATAGTCATTTCATGGAAAGGCTCAGTGAGAATGTAATATGGATCTACATGCAAGTTAAATAAGAGATGACAAATGAGAGCTTCGTGCAGCTCAGTCCAGTATATATGTGCTACCAAAGCAAGCAGCTCGGTACAGTATAGAAGTCAGTTTCAGTGATTCTGTGATTGAAATATAATTATAGTACCAACACACCACAACACTGGGGCTTGTGTAGGTCACAGCATGAAACGGATTCAGTGTGGGTGTTTGCTTAGGTAGTAGCTTCAAGGTCCTTCACCATAGTTTCATCAGGAACCAGCAGAGCATTGCAGCTAATATGGTATACTCGGATTCCATAAAAAGCAATGAATATTGCTATTCAAATAATATATCCTCTGGCTACTGTTGTCTCCCTGATTATTAAAAGTGGTAGAATGACATACATTTTAAAATGTAAATTATTTTTATTCTGACTCAGTTTTCCTTAATTCTTAACATCTTCATTGATTTTATTTATTTTTTATTTATTTATTTTTTTAAAGATTTCATTTATTTATTTGATAGAAAGAGACATAGCGAGAGAGGGAACACAAGCAGGGGGAGTGGGAGAGGGAGAAGCAGGCTTCCCACCGAGCAGGGAGCCCGCCCGATGCGGGGCTCGATCCCAGGACCCCGGCGTCATGACCTGAGCCGGAGGCAGACGCTTAACGACTGAGCCACCCAGGCACCGCCTTCATTGATTTTAAAGATAAAACAGTTGTTTCAAAGAAATTCATTGGTCAAAATCTTTAACTTATATAGTTTTAGATACTTAGCAGGTTTTTTATTTAAATTAATTAAGCCATCTTTTTGGCTTATCATCTTCTTGTTGACCTCCTACTACAGGTTTTCAGCACATACTCCAATGAAGACTACGACAGGAGGAACGATGAAGTGGACCCCGTGGCTGCTTCTGCCGAGTATGAACTTGAAAAGCGTGTAGAAAAGCTGGAACTTTTCCCAGTGGAACTAGAGAAAGGTATATGAGCTCCACAACGTTTGTAATATCATTATTTGGCTATTTTAATAACACAAAAATGACCTTTTTTTTTTTTTTCGCATGTAGACTCCCCCCCCCCCCACGGAAGGGTTGGAGAAAGTGTTAATTCTATTGGAGAATTTAATTTCTTTATTAAATTTCAAAAGTAGTTGATATGAGCTCTGTATAGATGGTAGACTGAAAGACTCTTTCTTCCCTTCCACTTCCAGCTAAAAGCCATCTGCTCTAGTTGGCTGGGATGGTGACTGGGAGTAGGGAGGTGTGGGTGGGGCCTGATGTTTGGTCGGTACCCTTGCGAAGGGCTGGTGCTGGTGAGTGCTCAGAGATAGCAGGTGGAAGTGGCGGGGGGGCAGGTGGTTGGGGAGGGCAGGTGGAAATGGGGGAGAGGTGGTTTTTGCGTTCTTGGTGGAGGGAGAGTCGTCATGGTTGGGCTCTGAATGTAGTAAATGGTGGAGTGCTGGGCCTTTAGATTATGGATTTTGGAATGGAGACAGTGGAATCCTCTCTGAGGGGAGAGGGCTAAGAGAGAGCAGGGAGAATGGGAGCAGAGGGGCTTCCTCTTGATTTCTTCTCTTGGAATCTCAGCCTGCCTGCAGTGGGAAGTGAGGACCCATGGGACCAGAGACTGCCATGTTTATTGTCCTGTAAGATGGGCACCCGGGAATGGACTGGGACCCAGTGAACAGGGAAATATCACATCTCAGAGAGCCTTACAAAAAAGCAGAACAAACAGATGACAACTTGAATGACAAAAAGAAGCAAATGAAAAATCAAATGAGGGTATCAAGTATGGCTTTAAAAAGACATTCTTAGGCCAATCAACAAACAAAAAAACGTTGATTTTAAAAATTAAAAATTTCAGTGGAGGAATTGAAGAGGAAAAGGTGGTATTGTTGAGACTCAAACTGGTGATCTAGAAGGTCAAGCATAAGAAATGAGCCGAACTAATTCTTAAGTGATAGAGTAAACATACACAAAAAATCATGACGGAGACCCAAAATATAAATTGTAGGTGACATAAGGGGAAAAGACATAGAGGATGAGAGACATAGTAGACAAAACATGGAAGAAATTTTCCTGAGCTCAAAAAAGACCTGAGCCTCCTATTTGGAAGGGCTTATCCAATTGATAGAGAGACGACTTGGAAAACACCCCGCACTTAGGCATAGTCTGGGAGAAGTCCTCATCTTCAACATAAAGTATAAATTTTACAAAATACCACACTCAAATCAAAGCAAACAAAGAAGCAAAGGTACTTGCCAAAACAACATTATTAGACTAGCATCAGATTTCTCATTTGTAACACTGGACGTGGGAGGCAGACATAAAATTTCACACATCCAAAAATCCTGTATCCGTCCCAGAGAGCATTTACCTCTCTTCTGGTGAAAGAAGGAAAGTTGCTGATAGCTAAGGATCTAACGAACACATCACCTGCATACTTCCCAATTAGCAAGGAGGAAAAGAAACAAAGAACAACTTGTTCTAAATAGAAAAGATGAGGGAAAGGAGTTGAAAACTGTAACTTTTGGGCATAAAATCACTTGGATTAAAAAAATGTAAAGAATACCGGTCATTACGCCAGACATGACTGGCTAATTGTTCCCATTAAGAGACACTTTTCATTTGAGGTTAAAAAGGATGTAAGAATGATACTTATATTTTTCATTCATTTAAAACGTAAAAACCATTACTAGCTTATGGTCCATACAAAAACAGCTGTGGGATTTGGCTGTGGGCCACCGTATTGCTTATAATAGCAAAAATGAGAATAATCCAGTTATTCATTAATGACAGAAAAGGGTAAAATGAAGGAGCCTCAGTTCCATGCAGCAGTGTGTATGATTCTTACAAACATGAAATTGAAGGGGGATAAAAAGCAAATCACAGAAGAAGCCATTCAGTATAATTCCATTTATTTAAATTTCAAAGCCAGGAAAAATTCAATGGCATATTGTTTAAAGATACACAAATAAGTGATTTTAATAACTGGTTTTAAAAATGGAGGTCATGATTGGCAGGATATTTAGGATAGTGGTTACCGATGGGAGAGTTATGATATCAGGGAGAGGTGCAGACTGAGCTTTTCAGGTGTTGGTAGTGTTCTGTATCTTTGCTAGCATGTGAATATTCGTTTTATTTTTAAACACAGTGTTTTGTAAATAAATGTTTTCATGAGCTCTTTTGTGTTTTTCACACAAAAAAGTTAAAACTAGAAAAATTAAGCTAGAAAAGAGCCAAGTGAAGTAGAATTATTTTTAATCTTTTGAGAAACCTCCATCCTGTTTCCCCAAAGTGGCTGCACCATTTTGCATTCGCAGCAACAGCACGCAAGAGTTCCCCTTTCTCTGCATCCTTGCCAACACTTGTTATCTCTTGTTTTTTGGATGATAGCCATTCTAACATTCTGAGTCTAATAAGGTGATTTCTCATTGTGGTTTTGATTTGCATTTCTCTGATGGTGAGTGATGTTGAATACCTTTTCATGTCCTCTTTGGAAAAATGTCTATTCACTTCCTCCGCCTATTTTTAATCACATTTGGTTTTTTGCTGTTGAGTTGTATGAGTTCTTTATATATTTTGGATATTAACTCCTTATCAAATATTTTCTCCCATTCTCTAGGCTGTCTTTTCATTCTGTTAATGGTTTCCTTTGCTGTGCAGAAGTTTTTTAGTTTAATGTAATCCCACTTGTTTATTTTTGCTTTTGGTGTCAAATCCGAAAAGTCATTGCCAAGACTGATGTCAAGGGACTTACCTACTGTTTTATTCTAGGAGTTTTATGGTTTCAAGTCTTAAATGTAAGTTTTTTTAATCCATTTTGAGTTGATTTTTATGTATGGTATAAGATAGGGGTCCAGTTTCTTTCTTTCTTTTTTTTTTTTAATGTGTCTGTCTAGTTTTACCAGCACCATTTATTGAAGTGGCCATCCTTTCCCTATGGTATATTCTTGGCTTCTTTGTCGTAAATTAATTGACCAAATATGATAAGTTTATTTTAGAGCTCTCTATTCTATTCCACTGATCTGTGTGTCTGTTTTTATGGCAGTACCGTAATGTTTTGATTGCTACTGTTTCGTAATACAGTTTAAAACCAGGAAGTGTTATGCTTCTAGCTTTGTTCTTTCTCAAGTTTGCTTTAGCTATTTGGAGTTTTTTTGTGGTGCCATACAAATTTTAGGATTATTTGTTCTATCTCTGTGAAAAATGTCATTGAAATTTTGATAGAGATTAAATTGAATTTATAGATTGCTCTGGGTAGTATGGACATTTTAATAATATTAATTCTTTGAATCTTTGAGTATGGACAATCTTTCCACTTATTTGTGTCTTCAGTTTCCTTTATCAGTGTCTTACAGCTTTCAGAATTTCAGATCTTTCACCTCCTTGGTTAAGTTAATTCCTAGGTATTTTATTCTTTTTTGATGAAATTGTGAATGGAACTCTTTTTTTTTTTTTTTAAGATTTATTTACTTATTTTTAGAGAGAGAGGGAGAGCACATGGGGAAGTAAGGGCAGAGGGAGAAGGGGAGAGAAAATCTTAAGCAGGCTTCACACCCAAACAGAGCCTAATGCAAGGCTCGATCTTCGGATCCTGAGGTCATGACCTGAGTCACAATCAACAGTCGGATGCTTAACCGACTGAGCCACCCAGGTGCTTTCTTAAGCTTTTTCTGATAGTTTGTTGTTAGTGTATAAAGACCTAAATATGATACAAACTATAGATTATAATACCAACAGAGATTTTTTACTTTCAAATTGAGGAAACACTTAAAAAAATAAATTGAAGAAACACTAGAAATATTTCAGTTAAAACCAGGAGTCTGATTTGGAATGCTCTTTAAATGAAATAGTATAAACAGAAAACAGAAGATGATAAGTAACCTTTTGCTGATTTTTATTATAGGATATGTATTATAATTATATATATGAAAGCTATAATGAGAGGCCAAACTGATTCTAATTTTAAAATACTAGAATTGATAAGATTATATATGTAAGAGGAGGTCAGGTGTCACATACATGAAAGAAAATTAGTCGTTTTATCTCTATATTTACATTAAGCACATAAATATGAAAATGGGAACATTTCATTTACAATAGCACAAAAACAACAAAATACTTATTAATCACTAAGAAAAACAGTATTTATCTGTTGAAAATCCATCTTTGACAGATAGAAGATGTAAACAAATAGAAGAATATACCATATTCTTGGATGAAAAGACTCAGTATGGAAAAGTCCCCTCCTATTCTTCATCTCTGATACCTACAAATTAATATATAAATTTAATGCAGTTCAAATAGAACTGCCATCAGAGTTGGATTGGGAGAGAGGATTGCATAATGTAATACTAAATTTTATATGGAAAAATACAGACCTAAGAGAAGTATGAAAAAGAATGTGAAAAGTCTTAATTTCTTAAATATCTGAATTTAATGTAAAGCCTCTATAATCAGAACAAATTGTATTCATATAGCAATTGATCAGTGGAACAAAGTAGAAAATCCAGAGAAAGATGTTAGTATGCATGAGAATTCGATATACAACGTGTATGATATTCTAATTTAGGATAATAGGGTGCTTTACAAAGTGTTTTGGCATAACTGGGCATCTCTGTGGAAGAATATAAAGTTGGGCACCTTCATTTGCATTATATCATATAAAAAACAACTCTACCTGGATTAGATAATTAAATACTAAAAATAAAGTAATAAAGGTATTTGACAAAAAACTTACAGGACCACATAAATCCTGTAGGCATGTTGGAGGCGGGGCTTAACCAAAGTGGAAAAGCAGAAGTTATAAAAGAAAAGAGGGTCCAATCAATGAATCCAAAATTTTAAGCTTTTAAAGGCAGTATTGTCAAACAAAGACAATAGATAAATGATAAATTGGGGGGGGCATCTTCATTATGACAGGGAGATAATATGTATAATATGCTAAGAACCTTAAAAAAGAAAAAAGAGACAGGGAAAACTCAGTAGAAAAAATTGGCAATTTACCAAAGAGGACACATGAATACAAGCTCAGATCTCACTAGCCATAAGGGAAATGCTAAGCCAATGTGAGCTTCTTTTCTTTTTTTTTTAAAGATTTTATTTATTTATTTGAGAGAGAGAGAGAATGAGACAGAGCACATGAGAGGGGGGAGGGTCAGAGGGAGAAGCAGACTCCCTGCTGAGCAGGGAGCCCGATGCGGGACTCGATCCCGGGACTCCAGGATCATGACCTGAGCCGAAGGCAGTCGCTTAACCAACTGAGCCACCCAGGTGCCTGTGAGCTTTTCTTAAGAGAAAAGGTAAGCTCTGCCTCCAGAGTGTGGTGACAGCATCTTTCATGGTAACTCAGCCTCACAGTCTTTTCCACTGTTTCCTGGCTGCTTTGCCTACTTAGTGCTTTTTCTGTCCCTAGGAGGGGCTAGACAGAGGAAGACCAGGGGGTTGCTGGGTTCTTGACAGTCACAAGAATCAGTGGCCTTCAAGGATATGGCTCTGGAATCCACCCATTGTTGACACATCTCACAGAAAGCTGTACAGAGATGCAATCAGTCAACTGGTCTCTGTGTGTTGATTGTATTCTTCCTTTAATTGTCTTTCAGTTATCATCTTGTCTTTCAGGCAGTCTGCACTGGAATTGAGGATGGCTCAAGCTATTACCGCTTTTCCTACAATTGGGTTTTCAGCTCTACAAATCTGAGTAATTTTCCAGTGAGAGCAACAGGGTTGCTAAGGCAGGAAGAAAGATAATTTTACTAAAGCCTGAGTCCAGGCAGGGAAAATGCACTTAAAAACGAAGACATATGATTTTCATGCAGGATATTTGCAGGAAGCAACTACTTAATGGCAAGGTGGTACAGAGAATCCACATTTGAAAGGTGCTCTTTGAATGTACTGAGTAAGGGAAAGTTTCCCTTACAGCCCAACGTTGGCTTGACATGTGGTAATTCATAATGAAGAGAAACTCCTGTAAATAAAATGAATGTGAACAAGAGTTCAGTTAAATGCTTAATATATACCAGATTTCATGTAGGAGAGAGAAGCCCTTTGGCATTATTTAGTGTGGACGATTCTACAGTGATCATCTCTTAAATGACACAGGAGCAAACACTCTGGGAGAAACACTTACATGTATGTAAACACTGGGAAGGTCATCATTCATCCTTTCACCAACAGGAATAGATTCCCACACCAGGAAACTCTAGGAATATGATGAATGTGGGCAGAAGTTCAGCTATATAGCCAACCTTCTATACACACAGGACAATTCCTGTGGGAGAGAAGAAACTTTGTACATGTGACCAGTGAGGAAGAGCCTTTAGCACAGATCTAACTTTTCTTTTCCCAAGAAAACTCATTCTGGGGAGAAACCCTAAATGTTGGAAAATTTTTAACCAGAGAAAGCCTCTGGATGAACTTGAGTATCTATACCAGAGAAACAATGAGAATGAAATAAATATGGGAAATCACATATGTGCGAACATTCTAAATACAAGGAATGAAAGAACTTCTCCATTGATGACTCGTGCACTAGTCACCATTAGAGTTCTCACGCTGGAGCGGCGCCTCTGCCTAAAATCAATGCGAAAGTACCCTCCACTGGGGATCACACTGAACAGTTCCTCCAGGGAGAACACTCTACGAAGCTCTCTTTAGCACACTACTGAGTGAACAAATCACACTTTTGTCGAATGACATGTTTTTAAACATATGTAGAATACAGATGTAGGATTATAAATTGTACTTAGAAACACTTAAAGCAGCAGTTGGTGACAAGTAGTAATAATCAATGAGATGAACCCTGTTCAAGAGATTACTGATGAAGAATACTTAGTGTATTAAATGTTATTGCTAAAAAGTCTTAAAAGCATCAAGCATTCTGCTGACTAGATGAGCCAGTTTTCCTTTAGACAACCCTTCACTGTTGATTAGCGAGTGTCTTGTTTTTTATGCAGCTCATACAGCGTGGTTCCAAAGACTCTGAGGCTATCAGAAAATAACTTTCAATGTTGACCAAAAAATGTGGAATGTGAAATAGTGTATCTTTTATTTCACTGATGTTAAAATACGTATGTTCATAGAAGTATGGATAAACACATTATTGTAAATGAATTTAAAAGCGTATTTGTCAGTGTTGTTCATCGGGTGAGGAACATGGAAACAAAAATGAATGCCGGTCAGTAGAGAAGTGGTTGGATAAGTTACAATACCATCTCACCATGAAATATTATGCAATCATTAGAAGTGATTTAAGGCTATGTAAGTTGATATCCATGAGGTATCATTGAATTAGGAAAGTAAACCGCAGAGAGAACTAGGTTTAATGCGATCTTATTTGTATAAAGCAAATAGGAAGGAAAAATGAGCCATTGTATATACACACACATATACATATATGTATGTATATTTATATTTATGCATATATACATATGTATTGTAGCTGTTCCTACTTTTATATGCTTGTATAGTAGGACTGAGGAAAGTACTGAAAGACACATGCCACCTTATTAAACATGAATAGGGATATGAAACAAAAAAGCAAAGACCACGTAAATGAAGGGGAAATTTTAGATACATTATGATCACATTCATTTAAAATAATATATATGTGTTTTGGCATGTATGCTTTTGTGTTTAAAATATATTATTTAGAGAGGCTGTGTTTTAAGGAAGACTGATTACTCCATGATCAAATTATTACTTTTTCTTGGGATCACAAATAAATAGCCAACTGCAGTAATAAAATGAGATTAAACTCACAAGCCTTTCGGGGGGATCTTATTTAACATCTTTACTCCCCAGCATAGAAAAAAATATTCTGCCAAGATAAGCCTATCATATAGTCCATAAAGAACAAAACTAAAGGCAAAAAAGAGGTCTCACCAGCTAATTGTGAGCTAGTGTAAAACTTAGGTTGTTGCATTGTTTTTCCCTTTTTCATAGATGAGGATGGACTTGGTATAAGCATTATTGGAATGGGTGTTGGAGCAGATGCCGGACTTGAAAAGCTGGGAATATTTGTCAAGACAGTAACAGAAGGTGGTGCTGCTCAGAGGGATGGCAGGTAAGCTAACTGCTGTCGTTAATAACTAAAATGCTAACTACTGTCGTTAATAACTAAAATCTTCTAGAAATTTTATTGGGACGTTTTTTCAGTGGTAGCTTTCTTCTTTTGATTTTTTTAGGACAGAATTTCGGAGTGTGTCTCAGATATGGAAAAGGTTAAAACACTTCAATTACTTTCTGATTTGCAGGTAAAACGCCTGCTTTCTTTAATATATATTAGGTAAATGGGTGGTTGGATCTACTATCTCTGTCTACCTTTGGTGCCTATCCCTTCATCTTTCTGTCTAGTGGGAAAGGGGCAGAAACATGGGTGTATATTGTTTCAGAATATGTCCTGTGGAGATCAGCATATAGTTTCACTTCAGAAATATCGAAACAAATGGTAATATTTCTGGCACTTTTGAGAATGACCAAGGTAGAAGGGAAAATAGGAACCCTAACTCTGCAATGATGATAATTCTGGAAATCATGTTTCTCAAAATGTATCCTATCTAAAAATATACGTTCTTGAGTGCCAACTAAACCTGTGGAATTAAATCTCTCAGAGAGGACTCTGACAGTCTTTACTTAAGCATCCACCTTGGGTAATCTGGAGGCACACCAGCACATCAGATTGTTGTTGTTTTATGTCTTAGCTTTCATCATCTCAGGCTGCAATGTATGTAAAGATTTTGATGAATCCTCACTCTTCGTTCCTTCTGCATCAGGTTGGGGCTGAAGCAGAGGTTGGCAAAAGAAATAAAAGTAGGTCCAAAAATATGAGTGCCAAATTCAAAGAAATGTCATCTTATTTTTTTTTAGGAGCACAGAGTAACTGGTTTTGATTGTTTTTCAAGGATTCAGTATATATCACTTAACCATCGTGATATCACTTAACCAACATGGTAAATTATAAAGCATGTTGAAAATCATTTGTAAATCTCTGGTGGAACACATAGGTAGCATTATTTCTTTTGTAATCCTAAATACACATATTGATATACACAGATATTTTCCAAGGGGAACTAAATTGATTTATTTAAATAGACCGCCACACCAGGATCATCTCTTTCCATGAGGCTAGGTTCCACATCACAGTCAGTAGCCTTATTTGTATTCCCGTGGACTTGAACAGAGAAGGTCTGAAATGAATCTTTTGAGTGAATGTTCAGTTGATTGAATGTGTATCACCATTAACACAAAGTAGGATATTAATATTTTGTGTTAAAATACAATTTGTTAACAGTCTTCCCCATTTTCAAGTATTTAAGGAAATGACCTCTTTACTCTTTCAGTGAATTATATAATGGTAGTAGCAAAAATTTCCGCTTATTGATTTAGAAACTTTCTTCAAGTGAGCTAAAATTTGTTTGTAAAATCTGTGTCATTTCCCTTTAAGTTTCACGGAAAATTTAAAAACTATCCAAAATGATAGGAAATACTTCTTATTGTTAGTATTCAAACAGTATGAAATTATTACGAACTATCTCTCTTAAATTAGATGGGCCACAAAACCAAACCAAAATACAAATTTATTAAAAAACAAAAAGGTAGAAAATTTTGCATTTAGCTCTTAGCCAATTCCCATTGTTCTAAACTCAGACCTATTTGTTTTTCCATCACTGACTTTTAAAATTAGGTTTGTTTTTCGTTAACCTGTTTCCTTATTTGTTGTCCTACATAGGTTCAGTATTTCCACCGGTAGGAGAACTTGGCTCTATCAGTCCCAGTGTGCATTTCCTCAGTCCTTTTAAATGGGTATTTATCTAGGAGAGTAATCCTGCTGTTGTTACATTAGATGCTTAATAAATGTCTCAGTGAATATATTGAGGAAGGCAATTTGATGAAAGGAAGAGAATCTTTGGGAACATGTGACCAGGAGTCTAATTCTGTCCCCTCTACTTACCAGCTGTGGGATATTGAACAAATTAACTTAATTTTCATGTTATCTACATTGCAGGGTTGCTGTAAGCATTCAGTATGCTTATGTAAATTAAAACCTTCCACAGCACTGTGTATGAAACAAAACTGTTCTTGAATGAAGTAGGAATAAGCTTTATTTTTAAATGTATTTAAAAACAGTTATTATGGGAAGTCTTAAGAAAAACTATAGAAAGATGTATAAAATATGTACAGAATCATAAAATTTTAGAAGTTCAGAAGAACTTTAGAGATCTTTAAATTCATACTTTTTGTTTTATGTGTGTTTAAAAATTGAGGATATATATGTGTATGTATAGTCTCATTATTAGACCTATGGCAGTGTTCACATCTTTTAAACTATTACATTATTATTCCCACCATTACTGTTGTGCTCATTTGCACAATTTTAAATGTTTGTTGTTTAAAATTTATCAGTATAAAAAAATTACAAAAAGAAGTTGATTGCTTCTTCCAGTTAATAATTTTTTTAAAAAGTTACGTCTCCTTATGGATATAGAAAAATACTGTGTTAAGGATATACAAAGCACTATGATCAGTATGATGCCATTCTTCTGTGAATATGTTTTCTCTTTGTTCATCCCTCCCCCCAACCTCTCTTTCCCTTTCTTTTTTCTTTCTCTCAAAAAATGTAGAATTAATACACACCAAAATATTGAATGGCTCTTTTCCATGTGGGTTTTTAAAAATTTCAGTTAATGTGGAATATTTAATTTTTCTACAGAGAATTTATACTTGTATATATATTTTAAACTACAACTAAAAATAATAAAGTTACCATGTGACCTCGGGAAAGTTGCTCTTCAGACCTCAGTTATGGACAAAATTAAAGTTCTGGATTAGGTGTTCTTTATAATTCCTTTTAGCTTTAAAAGGATAAAAGTTTTGGGGCGCCTGGGTGGCTCAGTCATTGGGCATCTGCCTTCGGCTCAGGTCATGATCTCAGGGTCCTGGGATCAAGCCCCGCATCAGGCTCTCTGCTCTGCGGGAAGCCTGCTTCTCCCTCTCCCGCTCCCCCTGCTTGTGTTCCCTCTCTTGCTGTCTCTCTCTCTGTCAAATAAATAAATAAAATCTTTAAAAAAAAAAATAACTCCGGGCGCCTGGGTGGCTCAGATGATTAAGCGTCTGCCTTCGGCTCAGGTCATGATCCCAGGGTCCTGGGATCGAGTCCCACATCGGGCTCCCGGCTCAGCGGGGAGCCTGCTTCTCCCTCTGACCCTCTCCCCTCTCGTGCTGTTTCTCTCTCGCTCGCTCTCTAAAAAATAAATAAAATCTTAAAAAAAATTAAAAAAATAAAAAAATAACTCCTCTCATAAAAAAAATCTTTAAAAAAAATAAAAATAAAAGGATAAAAAAAATTTTTTTTAACCCTTCTAGCTTGCTTTAGTTTCTTTTTTTTTTTTTTAGAGACAGAGAGAGAGAGAGAGAATGTGTGTGTGCGTGAGTAGGGGAGGGGCAGAGGGAGAGGGGGAGAGAAACTTAAGCAGACTCTGTGATGAGCCTGGAGCCAATCGCAGAGTCTGATGCTGGGCTCCATCCCATGACCCTGAAACCATGACCTGAGCTGAAGTCAAGAGTCTGTCCTTAACTGACTGAGCCACCCAGGCACCCCTTGCTTTAGTTTTTCAACTCTATTTAAGAGTTGAACAATAATTACCTTCAAGGGATGTTAAATAAACAGACTTATAGACTTACCCAGGACATTCTTTTCTCCCTCCTCCCCACTTACTGCCCCCACATATTTGTTGTGATTGTTTTTACCCCTTCTAAACATCTCATAAACTCACCATATTTTGAGCACTTTCAGAAATTTGCCATGGGCATTTATCTCCTGTGTCATTCAGAGTGTAGTTAAAAAGTTTTGAGTCTTCCTTCCTTCCTTCCTTTTTGATATTATGTTCTACATTGAAATTTTCTTTTGTCAAGCTTTTCATGTCTGTGTGTACCCTTTTATATGATGCCTGAAACGTAGGGGTTCTCAATAAATATTTGTTGAATGAATGAATACTTTGTGCTTTAATCACTTTCAAAACATTTACTTAGGCCTAATGTTTTTCTCCCCCCTCTCTTCCCCCTCCCTTCTTTTTCTTTTCTCTCCCTCTTTCTCTTTTTTGTGCTATCCTAACTCTTAACAATCACTTGCAATTGAGCTAAGTAACGTGAGTTGATAGCCATTTCCACCATCTGTTTTAGTTTTAAATTTTTAGTAAAATAACTACAAATGATATTAAATAAGATTAATTTTAGTAAAATAAAATAGTAATTTTATTAAATACATTTTTATTTATTAAATATTATTTTATTAAAATTAAAATAAATATTTAGCAAAAATAGTATTAATAATGAAACCATTAGTTTTGCTCGCCATACATTTTACAATTGACACACAGGACACTAATTATTTCTCCAGTTCTCTTTCATGAATCTATAAAGCAAAATCAACTTTATGATAACACAATTGAAAATGCTGATAGTGGAGTAAGTCCTGTGGGTGGTAACTGACAAATGATAGTAATGACACTGTGCTAAAGAGGCAAATTAAAAATGCATATGGGATCTGCTTTGTTTCTGGCTATGTTTATTTCTTAGGCGTTTGCATGTCATCATTTGAGAATACTGTCCTGTTCGGTTTTTTTTTTAAAAAGTTACCAAATGTGAAACGAGGGTGCTATGTAGCTTACCTTCATTCAAGCCTCTCAAGGTTTTCAACTGATTTTAATTGGTTTTGACCAGCTTTTGGGTAGAAAGCAACACATAAAACAGATGAAGAGTTTTATTCTTAGCTCCCCTGCAGCAGACGCTCCCTGGGGCGGGACCCATCTGTGCCCCTGGGGCGCCCTCCCGCCCGGGACAACCTGAATGGAAACTGCTTTTTTAATTGTATCCATCTGTCATGATTCCGTAGTCGAGGGTTTCCTCTCAGTGCACACACTCCTGTGTCACTCTCCTCATCAAGTATTTTGCTTGTTCACCCCTTGGAGAGTTGGGATATTACTGCTTTGATATGGACATATTTTCATATACCTTTAAAACTCCACTATCTGGCATTTCGGGGAAAATTGTGTTGACCCGAGTTTA